AAAAAAAAAAAAAAGAAAAGAGAAGAAAATGTGGTGCCCAGAAGTTATCTCCAAATATTCTTCAAAATGTCAGGCAGAGGGTCTTGTCTAGAGTTCCTGTGTGCCATGTACTTATTAAGGCAACCACCAACTGCATCCTTCTGGTGACCCTGAGTTTTCTCCGCACAATGATCCTTGTGAAAGGCTTATGTCAATGCATAAATTTAGCATCTTTTAGGTACTTTCTTTTATTTCACTAGATCTTCTGTAGAGTCTTAGGTTAAACAACTCACCTTTCACCATTTGTATATTCCATCATTTGCCTTGGCAGAACTGAACTTGATATATATGTATATATTTGTATCAAGGTCTGCACACCTCCTGGCTGCCGTAAATCTCTTCTATTTGAAAGGCAGCTGGGTCTTTCAGAGACATTTTACTAAAAGACAAATTCTGAGAAGGCTGGTAGATAAAGCAAGCTTTGCTGACCTTCCTGGAAACATTTATGTAACAGAGAGAACAGAATTCAGAGCAGGCAGATCAGAATCTGATTTTTAAAAAATTTTTTTTCATTTAACTTTAGTAATTTATTTATTTATTTGTTTATTTCAATTTGACCAGAGATGGACAGAGAGAGAGGGAGAGAGAGAGAGAGAGAGGTCTGGAACTCATACCGTGGTTGTCCATGTGGGAATCCAGCACCTTTAAGTACCATACCACCTGTTGGCCCCCAGAATCTGAATTTTTATATCAGTTATATACTAGTTATTGACATTTCTTCTAGTACTGTATTAAAATGTTAGGTGAAATTCAAATAATTTCTTATAATATAACTTTCCTCATGCATCTATTTTATTATACTAATACATACATAAATATACAAATACACACACATACATGTGCACACACACACTCACACACACACATACACATATATATAGTAATTAAAAGGAGCCCAGGACAAAATCCCATGTTTAGGTTTCATTCACGTGAACAATAGGCATTCCCAGAAGACTGCCTTCAGTCCTGTCCTGAGCATCAGCAAGAAATCACCAGCAGAGAACTACATTCACTCAGTGGGCTTCACAGCATCCGGGGGATCCTAGGGTTTGATTCCATTTGACTACTTTTTGTTTTTCAGCTTAGGCTTTCATTAGAAATTCAGAGCTAAGTAATTTGTGGACCTGGGAGGTAGGAAACATGGCAGGAGATCACACATCTATTGTCAGGACTGCGAGGTTCCAGGTGGCCTGACCTTTGAGCAATGCAGGGGTGCAGGGTGCTGACCTTTCACATGACTGAAAATTCACATATAAGTTTGACTTTCCCAAAACTTATCTTCTAAAACCTACTGTTGACTGAAGGCCTTATGGATAACATGAAATCAATTAACCCATATTTTGTATGTTACATATGTTATATACTGTATTCCTCAATAAAGTAAGCTAGAGAAGATGCTATTATAGAAGTCATCAGGAAGAGAAAGTATATTTACAGTACTGTCCTGTATTTTCCAATGTATTTATTGAAAAAAAATTGCTAATAAGTTGAACCTCAACAGTCAAAACCTGTGTTGTTTGAGGGTCAACCACAAGTGTATGTAGTCCCAGTTAGTGAGGGACATCGTATGTATCTGTCCCATAGGTGGGTTCCTCTTGGGACTCCATCTGTTTGGTCAAGTCAGTTCCATCTGGATATGATGCAAACTCTACAATGTCACATGGTTTGTGTTATAATGTGAGCTTCACTGGGGAAATAAAAAACATAGGCCAAAGGTCATTGAGTGAAGAGAAGGCACTGGTCCCCCTATTTTCTTGTCATCCCAGGGAGGTGTGCTGGACGGGCTCTGTGCCAATGATTGGACCTCACCAGAGTGGGAAAAACTCAGGGTGATCAGCAGTAGGCAGTCTGCATTCAGGCTGCTAACCATGTGCAGCAGTGGTCTGGGAATGGTAGCTGCCCAGCTCCTGGAGACACTGGGCCCTACAAGATGTTGAGTACCTCCCTTCTAGGGGGAGGAAGGTACTAGCCCATGGGAAGAAGCCAAGCTTGCATACACGGCCCCTTCT